GCAGGCCGCACGCCCCCTCCCCCCTAGTCCGAATAAGACAAGGAGGGGGGGGCGGCGCCCCCCTTTTCCTCTTTCTCCCTTCCTCCTTCCTTTTCCAACAAGGCAAGAGGGGGGAGTCCTACTCCCGGTTGGAGTAGGACTCCTCCAGGCGCACCCATAGGGCCGGCCACACCTCCCCCTCTCCCTCCTTTATATACTGAGGCAAGGGGGCACCCCATGACACACAAGTTGATCCTCGTGATCGTTCCTTAGCCGTGTGCGGTGCCCCCTTCCACCATATTCACCTCGGTCATATCGTAGCGGTGCTTAGGCGAAGCCCTGCGTCGGTAGAACATCATCACCGTCATCACGCCGTCGTGCTGACGAAACTCTCCCTCAATGTTTTGCTGGATCGGAACTCGAGGGACGTCACCGAGTTGAACGTGTGCAGAACTCGAAGGTGCCGTACGTTCGGTACTTGGATCGGTCGGATCGGGAAGACGTACGACTACTTCCTCTATGTTGTGTCAACACTTCCATTGCCGGTCTACGAGGGTACGTAGACAACACTCTCCCCTCTCGTTGTTATGCATCATCATGATCTTGCGTGTGCGTAGGAATTTTTTTGAAATTACTACGTTCCCCAATAGTTGCCTCGCCAACTATTACTTCTACTACTATGGCTAACGGTTAGCAATAAAGTAAAGTAATCACATGGCATTTTCATTGACACGCATGTCATAAATAAATTAAGACAACTCCTATGGCTCCTGCCGGTTGTCATACTCATCGACATGCAAGTCGTGATTCCTATTACAAGAACATGATCAATCTCATACATCACATATATCATTCATCACATCCTTTTGGCCATATCACATCACATAGCATACCCTGCAAAAACAAGTTAGACGTCCTCTAATTGTTGTTGCATGTTTTATGTGGCTGCTATGGGTTTCTAGGAAGAAAATTTCTTACCTACGCAAAACCACGACAGTGATATGCCAATTTCTATTTACCCTTCATAAGGACCCTTTTCATCGAATCCGATCCAACTAAAGTGAGAGAGACAGACACCCGCCAGCCACCTTATGCATCAAGTGCATGTCAGTCGGTGGAACCAGTCTCACGTAAGCGTACGTGTAAGGTCGGTCTGGGCCGCTTCATCCCACAATGCCGCCGGATCAAGATAAGACTAGTAACGGTAAGAAAATTGAACAAATCATCACCCACAACTGCTTTGTGTTCTACTCGTGCATAGAATCTACACATAGACCTAGCTCATGATGCCACTGTTGGAGAACGTAGCAATAATTCAAAAAAATTCTACGTGTCACCAAGATCAATCTAGGAGATACTAGCAACGAGAGAGAGGGAGTGCATCTTCATACCCTTGAAGATCGCTAAGCGAAAGCGTTCAAGAGAACGGGGTCGATGGAGTCGTACTCGTCGTGATCCAAATCACCGATGATCCTAGCGCCGAACGGACGGCACCTCCGCGTTCAACACATGTATGGAACGGAGAGACGTCCCCTCCTTCTAGATCCAGCAAGGGGAGAGGAGAGGTTGATGGAGATCCAGCAGCACGACGACGTGGTGGTGGAAGCAGCGGGATCTCGGTAGGGCTTCACCAAGCACCAATGAGAGGGAGAGGTGTCACGGAGGGAGAGGGAGGCGCCAGGGACTTGGGTGCGGATGCCCTCCCTCCTCGCCACTATATATAGGACCCCTAAGGGGGGCGCCGGCCCTAGGAGATCCAATCTCCAAGGGGGGGCGCCGGCCAAGGGGGGGACTTGCCCCCCAAGTCAGGTGGGGTGCCCCCCACCCCTAGGGTTTCCAACCCTAGGCGCAGGGGGAGGCCCATGGGGGGCGCACCAGCCCACCAGGGGCTGGTTCCCCTCCCACTTCAGCCCATGGGGCCCTCTGGGATAGGTGGCCCCACCCGGTGGACCTCCGGGACCCTTCCGGTGGTCCCGGTACAATACCGATTACCCCCAAAACTTTCCCGATGGCCGAAACTGGACTTCCTATATATAAATCTTCACCTCCGGACCATTCCGGAACTCCTCGTGACGTCCGGGATCTCATCCGGGACTCCTAACAACTTTCGGGTTACTGCATACTAATATCTCTACAACCCTAGCGTCACCGAACCTTAAGTGTGTAGACCCTACGGGTTCGGGAGACACGCAGACATGACCGAGACGACTCTCCGGTCAATAACCAACAACGGGATCTGGATACCCATGTTGGCTCCCACATGTTCCACGATGATCTCATCGAATGAACCACGATGTCGAGGATTTAATCAATCCCGTATACAGTTCCCTTTGTCTATCGGTACGATACTTGCCCGAGATTCGATCGTCAGTATCCCGATACCTCGTTCAATCTCGTTACCGGCAAGTCTCTTTACTCGTTCCGTAACACATCATCCCGTGATCAACTCCTTGGTCACATTGTGCACATTATGATGATGTCCTACCGAGTGGTCCCAGAGATACCTCTCCGTTACACGGAGTGACAAATCCCAGTCTCGATTCGTCCCAACCCAACAGACACTTTCGGAGATACCCATAGTGCACCTTTATAGCCACCCAGTTACGTTGTGACGTTTGGTACACCCAAAGCATTCCTACGGTATCCGGGAGTTGCACAATCTCATGGTCTAAGGAAATGATACTTGACATTAGAAAAGTTTTAGCATACGAACTACACGATCTTGTGCTAGGCTTAGGATTGGGTCTTATCCATCACATCATTCTCCTAATGATGTGATCCCGTCATCAACGACATCCAATGTCCATGGTCAGGAAACCGTAACCATCTATTGATCAACGAGCTAGTCAACTAGAGGCTTACTAGGAACATGGTGTTGTCTATGTATTCACACATGTATCTGAGTTTCCTATCAATACAATTCTAGCATGGATAATAAATGATTATCATGAACAAGGAAATATAATAATAACTAATTTATTATTGCCTCTAGGGCATATTTCCAACAAAAACAAAACGCGTTTTTTGTTTTTTTTTCTTTCGTGAGAGTCACGGTTTTGCTTTCACGAGAGGCACGGTTGTGCTTTCGTGAAAGTCATGGCCGTGCCTCTAGAAAAGAGAAAAAAATACGCGTTTTCTGTTTTTTTTTTCGCGAGAGTCATGGTTTTGCTTTCGCGAGAGACACGGTTGTGCCTTCGCGAGAGTCACGATCGTGCCTCTCGGAAACATAAAAAAATGCGTTTTCTGTTTTTTTTCCTTTCACGAGAGTCACGGTTTTGCTTTCACGAGAGGCACGGTTGTGATTTCGCGAGAGGCATGGGCGTGCCTCTTTCGGAAAGGAAAAAAAACCGTGCTCCCGGTTCGGTTTTTTCACCCGATTTTTTTCGTGAAAAAAAAAGTTCGTCAAAACCTATCAACATGTGATCTAGTTTTGAAGATCTCGACGCAAGGAATCCAATGGTGAAAACGGTTCGAGATTTGGACGCACAGTTTAAGAGATAAAACGTTTTGAATAAACAGATCTAATAAAGAGGGAAAACTCCCAGGTTGCGACAAGTGAAACGCTGCATGTGCCTCACTTGTCGCGACCTGGGAAAATGGAGTGTTATTTGCAACAAGTACTTCTTAATTAGTGATTTCGACGAAACCTTTTCAAGAACCGTCAAGAAAACAACACTGGAAGCCCAGTCGGGTAGGCCCATGTACGCGCGGGGGTGCGCATTTGCTTGACGGCCCACCCCCCACCCTATGCGCGGAATAGGAAGTACCCTCTCCTTCCTCGGCGTCGTCACCCCGCAAACCTAGCGTGCTCCCCGCCGCCGACGACAGCGGCCCAGCTCTCCTCTCCGGCGACCGGCGGCGCACCTCGGCGTTCCTCTCCCCCACGTATTCAACCGCGGCAGTCACTCAGCAATCAGGCAACGTAAGTCCGCAGCTCATCTCATTCTTGGCCTCGACTCCTTGTTCAGCTGTCCCTGGCTCCCTGCACTAGTTCTGTATGTAGGTCATACATGGATGCTTGCTCATATGCCTTCCGTGGAGACTCTAGCAGTAGAACTTGCACTGGTTCCGTGCGTAGATGGTACATAGATGGATGGAGCTTGCAGGCAAGCACGCCAACTGCTTGATAAAATGCCCACTACGCAGAGGGAATGAGAAGGAAGAAGAAGATGAGGTGGCAAGTGAGGAGAAGAGAGAACCCACTTCCACGTGGCCGGTTTGTCTCTCTACTCTGGTTTTGGACGAAATTCATCCGGTTTTGAGACGAGGGACAAATTGTCGCCAAAACAAGTCCATGGATTGGAGGTCGACTTTCAGTTTACTTGAGGGACGTACTGTTTGCACCAGTGAGTACGATGGTTGGCAAAACACAATAGCATTAAGTTGGGGATTGTTAAGTTGTAAATAACGCCTGAAATTATGTTGCAAATATACTCTGTCAATTTTTTTGTTAAACCCTGAACCTGTCCTGAAACATGTGATTGTCTATACCTGAATTTCTGAAACAGTGTGTGCTCAATGTACTGGTGTGCTGAACCTGAATTTCTGGAACCTGTACAGTTCGGTATTGACCGGCCACTGAACCGATTTTCTAGATTAACCGAAATACCGACTTTGTGTTTTTGACTGACATTTTTTGTTAGCTTTAGTCAATAATCAAATCTGTCCAAAAAAACTAAACCAAAATGTACTAACCAAAATTCCGGTTTATACTGAACACTCAGGCCTAGTTGACGATACAAGATGGCGCCACTTGCACGTAAGCACCGCAAGGCATCACCTTCTCCTTCCCCCTCGGAGGCTTCTTCCAATTCAGGCAGCGACTGTGAACTCCACCTTGATGACCACTCCGACCCAGAGGACAGCTTCTTCTCCACAGGGAGCGCCGCCAATGACGACGTCCAGGATTCCTCCACCGTACCGCCCTCCCCTCTCATTTTCCTTTTCCTCTGAGGGGTATAGGTTGCTTAGCTGTTTTGTGCCTATCTCTCTCTCTCTCTTGTTAGAGTGACGAGGAGGAGGATGACAATGAGGAGAGCCTCCATGAGGAGGATGACGATGAGGAGAGCCTCCATGATGATGAGGATGATGAGGAGGAGAGCCTCCATGAGGAGGAGGATGATGGTGAGATGGGAGAGCTCGAGCAGCAGTATCGCACCCTCCAGGCCAATCAACAGTAATGTCTCCTTTCGGCCCTTCTTCCCCATGCCTCCCTTTCACACGGTTTACTATAGAATCTGTTTCATCATCTCACTTATATTCTTCTCTTCTACCTTGCAGAAGCATTCTTCAAACCCTGAAACAACACAGGGATGACGATGTCTCAAGAGGCCAGGCAGTCAAAAACCAAAAGGTATTTTCTTATATGTGCTTTGCATAACATCTACTCAACATGATCATGTTCAATTGCACAGCTATCCTTTACATTCAGTGTTTATGCTTTCAAACTATTAACCTCTACATCCAATTGCTGTTTACTGAAGGCGCTATGGGATAAGACCCTGGAAATGAGATTCTTGCTGCAAAAGGCATTCTCCACTTCAAACAAGCTTCCCAAGGTCTGTATTTCTCTCATATGACTGCCAGAACATGCACCTTTGTTTCTTCGTCTTCGTTGATTTTACTTCTGAAGAAACATATATTTTATTCTTTTGTTGCAGGATCCATCCAAGTCAAGGTTCTGCAGTCATGATCAGGAGATAGAGCAAGCATATATTGATCTATTGGACTCATCGAAACAGACTCTCGGTTGCATGCTGGACCTGCAGAAGGTTCACTTACCTGCTCATGTTTTTTGCTTCAGTGCTATGCTACCGCTATACTGTAGTTGTTCCAGGTTTTCTTACTGTGCACAATATGCTTTCCAAAACTACCTGTAGGCTTTACTGGAGCAGAACCAGGCTGCAAAGGGTGCGAATGGTAGAACTGCTATCCAGTCTTTCTCATTCTGAAAGATGCCTTGAAACGTTCGTTAATCCTGACTTAATGACAGATACATTGCCTGACTCGAATGAAGAGAGTGACGAGTGGTCGCAAGTACAGAAATTGCATACAAGGTAACCTTTTGCAGCAATAGAAACTCTGATGAAGTACTGCAGGATATATTCTTCGATGTGTTACAGTGTCTTGCGTAGCAGAAGATCTTTTGTTAATCAGCACTGTGCAGTTCTGCCCTTGTATGCTTACCATATCATGTTAGTAGTATGTCTTTTGTGCTTTAATACGGACCATCTAATGATCTAAACTCTTCCCTGGTCCTTTATTATAATAATCTCTTACATGTCTTTGAGTTAGTGAATTGTTTGTTTGGCTGTTATAAGTAATAAAAAAATTGGTTTCATCTTTACAAGACCTTTGTTTTCTGGATTGCTAATTTGCTACGTACCATGATTTTTGTACAGGATAACCCCGTTCAGAAATACCGAGATAGATAAATGGCAGAGGAAAACACAGGTCACAACTGGAGCTGCTGCACTGAAAGGAAAGTTGCACACATTTAATCAGGTTGGTTGAATGCCTATTTAACTACTTCTAGTAAAAAAAATTGTGGGACAGGCCTGGATTTATAAAGCTAAGACCCTTGCTTTCCATGTTGTATGAGAACAGAACATAAGTGACCAAGTTGCTGGTTACATGAGAGACCCAAGCAGGATGATTAACCGGATGTACTTGCGGAAATCTGATGTTGGTGTATTCGGGGAGGTATTTTATATGCATCTATTATGAGGGCCACCAGTCATATTTCTGCTTCGTTATAGTGAATAATTTGTGTCTTGTCATTCAATTTGCAGAGTGCAGCAGAGCCTGCTACTACCGTTGAGGTTTGAGCAATACTTCATTCTTTACTTGGAATAATTCCAAGCTTGCCGGCCTTTCTCTCATTTTGTTCTATTCAAATTTCGTGTTATGTAGTCCAGTTAGACTCAGTTATCAATCTAACCGATTAATGAAGTTAGACTGATTTCGGGGATATTTCCACCACCGATCGAATTATATATATACCGTATGTCTAGTGCACTTGCCGGTCTCATATGCTCACCCCTTGTTTCAACTCAGGGGAAGGATGTGGAAGGTGATCCTGAACTTATTGACGATTCTGAATTTTACCATCAACTTCTCAAGGAGTTTCTCGAGTCGTGTGATAGTGGAGCATCTGGTTAGTTCATATCCAACAATTGCTTATCTGCGCTAGTTTTTTTTTAAGCCCTGAATGCATGTATGAGCCATGCTGTTACCATTGTTGCAGAGTCTGCATTTTATGCTCTAAGGAAGAAGCAGAACAAGAAGAGGAAACTCGTCGATCGCCGCGCTTCAAAGAGCAGAAAGATAAGGTAGAGTGACTTTGGGTGCAGTTGTTTTTTCTTGTCAGCAATTGTGTATTAACTTGTTTATGTGAGTTTTCAGGTACAGTGTTCACGAGAAGATTGCTAATTTCATGGCCCCGGTGCCTATGACGGTTCCTCCAATGGCTTCGAAACTGTTCGAGAATTTGTTTGGAACGGGCAACCTGCAGAAGTCAGCCGCGGTCTGATCTTAAGAGATGTCCAAAATGTTGTTAAAGCCAGTTTTCGCGTGATGGATGGTAGTATGTGAAACTGAAGTAATACCACAAAACTTGTACCCACACATGCATGGCCTATGTATGACGATGAGTGTAATGAATATTAGTTGCTGATCTGATTAGTAAGATGCCTTCAAATTCTCTATCTGTTAAACATAAATTCAAACAGGGAGCTCAAGAAATTGTAGTCTGCAAAGCAATAAACATAAACGCCCTCTTATCTGAGTTGTGTAATGTTGACATAATAGTTGTAGATTAATAAATATAGCTCTCATGGTGTATGTCTCTTATCTAAGCAACCAATTGACATAACAACATCATGGGGATTATTACTCCCTCAATTTTTATTTACTCTATATTAAGCTTTGTCTTCAATCAAATTTTATAAACTTTGACCAACTTTATACAAAAAATTGTTATCATCTAGTACAACCATTAGATTTGTTATCGTAAATGTTCCATATTTTGCTATAAACTTAGTCAAACTCTGAAGTTTGACTTACAACAACAACAAAAAAAAAAGCTAAAATGCAGAGTAAATGAAAATAAAGGGAGTATATTCTGTCATGGGCGGTGAAAAGAAAGCATTGTAGGCCAAAAGAGTCAGATCATGAGATAGTCTTATCAGCCGCCGGCGGTGGGAAGAAACCGTTGTAGGCTTTCCTTTTCCCAATGCAAATGTGCAGTGTCGTCCTCACCAAATCCAAACAGGGAGCTCAAGAAATGCAAATTTTCCACAGCAAAGGAGCGCATGACACGGTCAGTTGTCATTTTCCCTTTCCAGAAGTTTTTTTTTTTGAGAAAATGCAAAGGGCTTTTGCATTTCATTGCATTGAAAAGATGGAGTTTTGATACAATCCTCCTAGGAGGTTAGATACAAGTTAGTGCACGTCCCAGGTGGGCGGCAGAATGACGCGTAGGCCCTTTCCAGAAGTGATCATCCGAACCTCAGAGCCAACGGGTAGAGAAACCCTAGTCGCCGAGGGTCGCAACTCAATGCAAAGGGACGGGCCTCTCAGCGTGGCCTGGCGGTCGCAGGCAGTGACATGTTCCTTTTCTGCAGTTTTATTCATGAGCTTAGAAACTTCAATTTTGAAGCTCACAACAAATCATCACACAGCTCTTTCTCATGGTATTGGCCACCATGTCTGGTTAGGCCATCCTATGTAGTTTCTGTAAACATCATGACTGGATAAATAAAGCTTTGCAGGATTGTCTAAGATAAAAAAGAAGAGGAGTTCAGGTTTAGGTTGTGCAGTTGAGGTTCATCACACCAGCGCATTGAGCACACATTGTTTCAGAAATTCAGGTTTGGACATTCACCGCTGTTGCGGGACAGATTCGGTGCGTAACAAAAGAATTGACAGAGCATATTTGCAATATTATTTAAGAATCATTGCGCATATTACATAAAACTCTTCCAAGGGTCCAACCACAATCAGTTACGGTTTCCTTTGCTTCCCAATATACAGCTCACGTGTTGTTATTATTATTCAGCCCCTTCCACTAATCACCACCTTCATCGCGCATTATTACTCGGTGACATAATTTCCTTCAGCTGACAGAAATACCAGACCTACCATCACCTATAGCCGGGCCTTGACTTGACTTGCTGCTGGTGCACTCTGCACATGAAAATTTAGTATCATATACTGTATCACATTTCACTGTATCAGAACAAGATGAATTAATTGGTAGTCTAATATTGAGGTACAGGCTTTCATTCTCTGAAACAAACAGAAACTACTAGTACTGAAGAAAATAGGCATTAAAGTTTTCAGCTGAAACGAAATGGCACGCATGCTCACCAGAGGAATCCCTTTTGCCGCTCTTTCGGCAAGGTAGGAGCAAGGCTCGAAGAAGCTGCCGTACCGCTTCGCCCACTCCGCCAACTTGCCGTGGATGTATTTTGCGCCGATGGAATCCCCCCATAGCATGACCCCTCCCCTGGTTGTTGCACCAATAGACAGGCAATTAAGTAGTTGCTACTAGTAAATCTCTACACAGGGCTTGTAAGGTTCATAGTGAGAGGCATATTTGACCAGGTGTCTTAAAAACGGACCTGTAAGGTGGGAAACCCATGCCAAAGATTGAGGCGATGTCAAGATCCGACGCCTTGACCGCAATGCCCTCATCAAGGACACGGCATGCTTCGTTTATGACTGGGAAGAACACCATCTCTACTATGTCCTTGTCACTTAGCTTCATCAACTGGCATATATTTATGCAGTAAGTTTTAGCACTAAATAACTTGTTTCTTTTGCAAGAATGCTACTTTAACCACTACAAGGATCTTGTTGATTTAGGCTTGATATTTGTACCACTATATATAACCATCCATTCAATATAAACCCCAAGCTATATCTGCTCATCTAGCTAGTACAGGACACTATAAATATCTACTTCTGCTTTGCTTCTTCCACAAAAACACAACCAACAAGGCAGCAACATAGTAGTTAACAAAATGTAAAGACATTTTTTTAGAACTATTCCTAATTAATATCCCCATCTCAATGCTAGAATCATAAGAGCAGACCAGAAAAATAAATGCCAAGAATGAACCGCTACAGTAATTCTATTACTGCACATGCTTCCATCAAAAAGCTGCGCAATTCTCTAGGAAAATACAACAGAGATTAGCCAAAAATCAAAAGATGAACCAAACCAAACCTCAGCATCTGGAGTGACTCCTGCCATGCTCCTAGATTTCTGAATATACGTCATAATTTCAGGATCAGGAGTTGCCTTCCTTTTATCCTCGTACTTGTAAAATCCCTTCCGACTGGCTTCGCCTAGATGAATGGTTGGTCAATCATGGTAACACATTTCAGAAACCAGTACAATCATTAATTGCAAAAGAACAAATATGCATGATATACTAGTGCTGTTTGATAAATTTTACCTGATCTTTTGTCTTCCATCATAATAGGGATTAGCATGGACTTGTAGACTCTCTCTGGGAAATTTTCAAGGTACTGCATACCAGTAGCCACAGCAACACCAAAACCAACAAGATCTGCAAGCCTGCATATATACACACATAAAATAGTTAGTAGCTAGACTGAGTCCATCTGGCATTGCTAGAAAACTATCATAAGAAACGTTAAGAATGTCGTAGGAGCTTATATATATTCAGGAAAACATTACAGAACTATATATCTGACCTGAATGGACCCATGGGCATTCCAAATTTGGTACATGCACGATCAATCTTGTAAACATCCATGCCATAATCAACAAACAGGAGTGCTGACTGGGTGTAAGGAAAGAACATCCTGTTGACTGCAAAACCAGTACAATTCCCAACCACTATTGGTGTCTTCTTGATCCTCTTCCCGACATCCAGCAAGTCAACAACAACCTGTGCTGAGGTGTGCTGGGTACGAACTATTTCCAAGAGTGGCATCACATGCGCAGGACTGCATACATGGTGCAATCAGTTAATGGATGTACATCCAGAATTACTGTGCATCAATCAATATATGCTGCATTACCTAAAGAAGTGTGCACCAACAATACGGTCTTGGGACTTTGTTTTCTCTCCAATTAGATTAAGATCAATCGTAGATGTGTTGGTAGCAAGGATGCAATGGGAAGGGCAGTACTTCTCCAAGTCAGCAAATATTTGCTGCTTCAACTTCACATTCTCAATAACAGCCTGCGATTGTGAGAAATAACAGAAATAAGCATAAATGGGTGACTGTAATTAATTCCGGGTCATTAATAAGATTTAGACTTGCCTCGATAACTAAGTCCACTTCTTTGAACTTTTCATAACCAAGGGCACCACTGAGAAGAGATAAAGCCTTCCCGTATCTCTCCTCTGTCATTTTTCCTTTCCTCACACGACTCTGCAAATTGGCTGGTGAAGCGAACCAGTGAGATAATCTTATCTTTTTATTACAAAGATGCAACGTAAGATATTACCAGAAAAAAATAGATATGATGAGGCTTAATCCTGTTTGTAGTACCTTTGATCCTGTCAATTCCAGCATTCAGAAATTTCTCATTTACTTCTTTCAGCAGCACAGGATAGTTACTTAGTATCATTGCGGTAGCAATTCCAGAACCCATAAGCCCACCACCTAGAATGGCGACTTTCGTTATTTTCCTAGGCATCAAACCCAAGTCTGTAGCACCAGGAACCTGTCGCATAATTTAGAGGATTAAGGCATGGTGTAATTTGATAGTAACAATTAAAAAAATGTCCTTCACACCTTTGATGTTGCACGCTGAGAGAAGAATACATGAAGTAAGCTTTTACATGTATCTGAGAAAAGAAGGCCCTGGAATGCGTTTGCTTCCTGCATTTACATTACAGAAGTGAATCCAAAATTCTGTATTCACAACAGGAAAATTAAATAAAGTAGCAGTAACAGCATAAGTAGCATCAAGTACCTTCCAGAGCCCAGCTCGAGGTCCTGAAACTATACCTTCTTCAATGACATCAATACAAATAAGTGGGTGTTCAAGATTTGCAGCCTGCTTTCGAGCTTGAGCCCTTGCAAACTTGAGAATCTCCCTAGCCTCGCCAAGGGGTTCCAGTTTGTCGGTCTTGTAAAGGCTTTTGATCCATGGCTTTCTGAGCTCACAGATATCCAAAGCCCAACGACGAGCAGTATTCACCAAATCATTAGGAGAAACTAAGGAATCAACAAGACCCAGTTGGTGTGCCTCTTCGCCCTTAATTGGCTTGGATAGCTGATGAAAATGGGTTATTTAGTTAAGTGAAGTAGTTGAATTAAACCAGTTCAGCCACAGAAAAGAAAACCATAGGCTCCGAAGCAGTATTTACCAACATCATTTCCAGTGACTTTGTCAGTCCAACAAGACGTGGGAGTCGCTGTGTTCCTATAAATTATGTATATGGGTCATCACATTGAAAAGCCAAAAAAAAAGGCTGAATATAATTCAGTTCACATTGGGGATAAGCATATGACAGAAAAGATACAAAGCAACAGTGGATTTCA